TGTGAACGAGTCCCTGAGAATGAATCGACTCGAGGTCCAATGCTATATAGTACAAGATGCATAATTTATCCTTCCATTCTAATTGTGATACTTGTGCAAGGTTTTGTCGTAACGAACCATTTAATGCATACTGCATAACAAGAATATAATCACCATTATTATTTCTTGATACTCCAATACATCCCAAGAACGAAGGATTCCCGTAACCAATTTCACAATGATTCTTCAATTCCCGAATAAATCCTTGCAAATTTTCGTTTGAACCATGAATTACTTTAAGTGCAACACTTATAATCCTCTCATTAATTGTATCTTCCCAACGTGCATAATATACGGTTGCAAATCCTCCTCTTCCCTTTTTCTTAATATCTATGAATTCATTATAATCTATCCAAAATAATTTAAATCTCTCATCATCTAATATTTTCTTAAGTTCAGGATTGATATTATCTGGCGATTTATTAGTTTTTAAAAGATTTCTATATTTTGAGATCCAATAATTTGCACTCTGAATATCTCTTTTTGTACCGATACCATTCCGATAAAATCGAGCAACATTATCCATTGCTGCGCTATATCCCATATTAGCAGATTTTTTATAGTATTCAAATGCTTTATTATAATCTTGATCAACTCCTATTTCATCTTCATAACAAAGACCGACGTCATTTATTGCAGCTGGATTTCCTAACTCAGCTGCTTTCATATAATATTCAAAAGTATTCTTGTGGTCTTTCTTAACACCAATACCATATTTATAATTGAAACCAAGTTCACGAAGTTGTTCAGAGTCCATTTTTTTCTTTTTTCAAAGGAAAAAAAATAAATATCTGGATGTGTCGGAGGACATTTAATGTTTAGTCAAAGTGACGCAATAATTATGTTTTTGGTTAGTTCATTAGTTGTCCATCAAAAAAGTAATTTTAAAAATTTTTCACGTCTGTCTGTGTGGGTATTTGTATCTTAGAGTAGCAAAATCAAATGAAGAAGCCCATTCATTATGTAAAAACATCCAACCAATTTTGCTATATAGTATAATACATATGGGCCAATATGTACCTCTATGTAGAGGAGAGAACCCCATACCCTAAAACTTTTTGATAGTTATACAGGTTATTAGACATTCGACAGACAGCTCATTAAATAATTAATTATATTATTTTTGATGTGGAAGGTTTATTTTTAACACTACACAGCAATGCCAAATGAGCGTGTTTGATGCACATTCGTTAAATCCTTCTTGCATAATAGTGCATATAGAATTACTGAATTACGGCTATATATGGTAGAGTTAATTACGGCACAGAACCTATTACCGTAAATATTATGTGCCGCCGTAATGCCGCAATGTCGTAATATCATAATACTATCCCTTAAAAGGTTTTGCAGCCGAAAAATTTTAATGGCATTATTCTAAACATATTTTATTAACTATATTATAAAATTTTTTTTTAATTATTAAAAATTTTTGAGCATTGTATAAATAATTTAATGCAAATTTGCATAAAATTAATTTTGCAAATTTGAAATATCTCAAAAACTAGTGATAGAATTTAACGATTTTGGTACCCATTCAAACCGTCTCTATGAGACAGATCGAATGATACCAAAATAGCTAACTTCTGATCACTAGATCTTGAGATGTTAATATATTGTTAATTTTAATAAAAGCTCAACGATCTCGATAATTTTTGGTACCATTTGATTTGTCTCGATGGGACGGTTCTAATGGCACCAAAATCATTAAATTTAGGTTACTAGATCTCGAGATATTCACAAGAAAACCATTTGCAGCGCAGTTTTGCACAGGTGTTTTTATTGAATTTCTGTACAAAATTGCGCCGCGAATTGTTTTTTTGCGAATATCTCGTGATCAGAATTAATGATTTTGGTACCATTCGAACCGTCTCATCGAGACGAATCTGATGGTACCAAAATTGTTGAATTTTGACCAATAGTTGTAAAAATCGTTAAGCTTTTATTAAAATTAATAGGATATTAATATATAAAGTTCTAGTGATTAGAATGTAGCGATTTTGTTATCATTCGATCCATCTCATAAAGACAGTTCGCAAAATCGTTAAATTCTAATCATTAGTTCTTGATATATTATATATCAAGTTTGTAAAAGAATTTATAACTCTAAATCAATGTAGATTTATACTAAATTAATTATTCTAGCTTTAAAAAAAAAAGCTACATATTATTTTTTATGTAAATTAGATCAAAAATTAATATTTATAAAATTTATTAAAAAATTAACAAATAATTTTTATAATTAAAGCTTTTTTAAAAAATTAGTTATTTTAAGCTTATATATAAGATAAAAAATTTTTCTATATAATATAAATTAAAAAATACAATTATATAATTTTTATATTAAATGTTTATAAAAAAAATTATTTTAATATTTTAATTTTTTAAAAAGTAAATCAGAAGTATATTTACAGCGATAACTCCAATATCTGATGCTTAAGTGTATGGTCGACCTACCAAAACTTCTGGCGCTATATACGGCATAATTCCGCAAATTTTTCCTTCCTTTACTTCAGAAAGTCCAAGATCAGGGATACGTTTTTCAAATAATCTTGCAAAATATTTCCGCTGTGTAAATATCTGTGAACGAATTCCTGCGAATGAATTGACTTGAGATCCAAAGCTATACAGTACATAATATCCAATTTACCTTTCCATTCTAATTGTGATACTAAACAATAACATAGTCACCATAATCATTTTTTGACACTCCAAAACATTTCAGAAATAAAGAATTCTCATAACCATTTTCACAGTAATTCTTCAATTCTTGGATAAATTCTTGCTCATTTTTGCTTGAATTATGAACCACCTTAAGTGCAACATATCTCCTTATATTATTAATTCTGTCAGTCCAATTTGCCCAATACACAGTTGTGATCCTCCTTTTCCATATTCCTTGAAAACTCTGAATTCACTGTAATTAATCAAAGATAATTTAAATTCTCATCATCTAATATTTTTTTAAGTTTAGGATTGATATAATCTGGTGATTTATTAGGTTTCAAAAGACTTCTATATTTTATGAACCAATAATTTGCACTCTAAATATCTCTTTTTGTAATAAGACCGCTTCGATAAAATCGAGCAACATTATTCATTGCTGATTTATAACTCATATTAACAGATTTTTTAAAGTATTCAAATGCTTTATTACAATCTTGATCAACCCCATATTCATTTTCATAACAATAACCAACATCACTAATCGCAATCGGATTTTCTAACTCAGCTGCCCTCATGTAATATTCAAAAGCCTTCTTGTAGTCTTTCTTAACATCAATACCGTCTTCATATTTGACACTAAGTTCACGAAGTTGTTCAGAATCCATTTTTTTTAAAGAGGAAAAAAAATTATACTCTAAATAAAATACAACCTTTAATTGTCTGGAATGTAGTGGAGGGCATTTAATGTTTAGTCAAAGTGACACAAAAGTTATATCAATAGTTACGTTTTAGATTAGTTCATTTGTTGACTTATATTGTCCGCCAAAAACGTAATTTTAATGAAGAGTAGCCCATTCATTATGTAAAAACATCCAACTAATTTTGTTATGTAGTAGCTTGGTTGACTAGTATTGCTTAATATCAGCCCAGCTCCGATGCATTTCACTCGGATTTTGGGATTGCAGTGGGTTGTCAGTAAAAAATCCATATAGAATAATAGACTTGTTGACGTTTATTGATAAAGACAGAGATCCGTCATGAAAAAAGCCGCAACATAATCCTGCTACAAGTAGTGAATGATAGTGATATAATCATCTCTAATGTATTGTATTTTATATACAAGTTACTAAAAGTTTTAAATATCGATTTTACTGAATTCTATTAAATAATTTGTGGCATTGGTACGTATAACCATTATTTCAAATCCGTATAAGACTTTTTAAACATAATAATATTCGTCCTCACAAATTTCATTGGTAATTCCACTAAGGTGAACAGGCTGAAGTGAGGGAATATTTAAAGAATAATATTGTTTAAAAATTTTTGCATCATTATAAAATTCTTATATATATTTGATACTTTCTTACTAGCTAAAAACTTACAACATGACAAAGATACTTGAGTTAAATTCAAATTCAAGATTACTGCGCCTAATCTTGTAAACAAATGTCGTTGACCAATTTGTTATGTTGAATCTTCAAATTCTATAAAGAATAAAATTCTTCGAACAGCCAGTTTTGTATGCAATACTAGTTACATGATATAAATAATCGATTAGTTGCAACTATATTTGGCAACTAATCGATTGGCTAACTTGGAATATCGCAGATTATATATATTATCTTAAATATCATCATAAAAAAAAATAAAAGAAAAGCCAAAAAATAGAGAGTATATACATAAACATGTATGATCGCGTAAAAGAGTTAGAGAGATTACAAAATCTCCGATCTATATTAACATTCCAGTAAGGTCCTGAATGGCTGGACTGAACTTTACTTAAATCAATAGTACTATTAACTGAATCAACGGAATTAGAGCAATTAGAGTATTCCTATAAAAAAAGAAAGATAAATTAGTAAACAATTAAAAAATAATTACATAAATAAATTATATAAGCAAATTTAAATTAACTTTATTCACCTTATTCACATCGCCAGAACAATTTAGGTATATGAATAATCCTTATATTTAAGAAATTTCTGACAGGAAAATGAGGTATAAAATCATTTTGATTTACAACTCTATAAATAAATGTCTTAAATTATTATAAAATAAATTAATTCATTTAAATATAATTTTTTAATTAAAATTAGATAACTTTAGACAAAACATACTAATTCTGTATTTACAAGCTGAGCAAAAGTAGGATTTCCAACTCGAGGTTCACCATAAGTGTAGAGACGTATTTTATTTGAATATTCCTTAATGTCAAGGGCAGCAAAAACCGCAAGTGCTATTAAATTAAATAATTAATGAGTATATAGTAAATAAGCATAATAAAATTACTGTTTGGTTTACAGACCTTCTCCAAGACTATGTCCAGTTACAATGACATCATAATTAGGATACTTTTTAATTAAATCAGAGATTTCATTTTTTATCTCGTCTTGAACAAGTAGGTAATAAGTGTAAAAACCAAAATGTACACATGGTAAATCACCTGTTAAACAGGAATTAAGCCTATCTCCATGTTTATTTTCACAGGTAGATGATGGACTTAAACAATCTTCATCATCATCACAATTAGATGAACTCGAACAATCTGATATAACCTCTGAAATATCAGTAGAGAATGAAGGATAATATGGTATTTGAAACATTAATGCATCTATTATTTTATCAAAAGTGGATTTGGTTCCTCTAAAAGCGACAACAATCTCACTGTGATTAGAGTTAGTAGTAATAAGTACATTCCCTTTAATATTCAGTAAAAAGAAAATTAACATTTAATGATTTAGTAATATTTCTAGTGTTTCAAAAAGGTGTGAATTGTCGCAGATCACCATATCATGGGGGAATTCACAATATTTTCCCAGATTTCTAAAGTTCTCAAGACCTGCTCTATTCGGAATTTTAATTTTTACTAATCTAAATTTCCAGATTCTTCTAGGTATATGGGAATCGTTTTTCACACATTTTTGAAACCAACAGTAATGAAATGAATGATCACTTGCCATCAAAGGAAAATCCAACCAAGGAAGGTACGATATCTTTTATAACAGTGGTTTGTGGAATATCATCACAAAATTTCCCACAACTCCACGTTTTAGAATTTGTGCAATAAGCAGCAGCAGAGTAAGTAATAAACCGTGTGAGATTGTCGATTTCTGTTTTATCATTTAATGGAGAAACCGAACAGGATTCAACAAAATTTGAATCAATAATGTCTGAATTGTCTGAACGGAGAAGATAGCTTGTAGGACAGTTGTTTAAAAAAAAATCAAGAACATCTTGAGTATCTTGAGAATCTTGAGAGTGAACCAAGATTAATAATAAGGTTAGGATAAAATATAAGATAAGAGCATAGCTCGTTAAATAAAGATGTGAAAGCAAATTTACCACGGTGCAAGTTATCTAGTCGCATTAAATATATTATAGCTGTTTTCAAAAAGATGTGGAACGGTGTAGATCACCATATTACGGGAAATTCGCAAGATTTGCAAAATTTCCAAAGTTTTCAATCGTTTTCTACATTTTTTTTGAAACAGTTGTAATGTTGAGCCACTATTCAAATAATTATTTAAGGAAACTAGAACATTTAATTAATTTATTGATAATGCAAATGTTGCAGTGCATTTTTCGAATTCATTGAATTTGCTGAATTCGTATAATTTGCATACATGAACAGTACGTAAGTATATACCGGTGGAATAAAGATTAACTAATACATTGGAAATAAGCTAAATTCAACAGTGGCTTTATTTTAAGTTTCAGCCGTATGTATAGAATAGTTACTATTAAGTATATATTATTATTGGCATATTATTTCTATGCAAAGAGGTTGAGAATTCTAGCTTATTGAGATTGATAATTTAAGAATTTTATTTTCAATATGCATTATCATATAGAGAGATTGAAGATTTTAAATTTCCTGTACCGTACAGCATTTGAATAAGACCATAAATGAAAATTTAAATAGACCTGGAAGTCCGATCTTTTTAAGAAATTCATATATAAAACTTTAAAAACCTACCCGCTTGTTAAAATATATATATATAATTTTTTAAAACTTTGACCCAACCCGGTTATGAAAACTAATTAATTTTGTAAGGTCAAAATTCATCACAATTCTTTATATATATATATATATTTAAACTGTACACCTTTTACTTTCTTGAGACATTCACAAAAAAAACTAAATGAGCTTTTTTAAGCCTAATAATCTTTGTAGCAAATTTAATGATTTCATCCCAAAAAAAATTACCAAAACAGCTTTCTTTGTTTTGTTTCTTTGTTCATCTAATGCCTATGCTAATAATGATTATAATCCATTGCCTGAAATTTCAGATTTTTTCTTCAAGAATTTTTTAACTTTTGTCTTAGTAGCTTTAGTGGTTGGTTTGAAAGGTTCTGCATAGAGTTTTGAACCGGGTCAAGCAAAATCGGGTCAACCGCGGTTGGTCGGTTCATCCGGTTGATGGTATGACAACCCGGTTGAAAACGGGTAAGAATAGGGTCAAGCAAATTCCGGGCTGAAGATCACTTCCGGTCATAAATTTTGTAGACCGGATCCAGACAGGATCTTGTGTAATAAAACAAACGCAAAAAAACATAAGAAGAAATTGTAAATAACGCGAAATTTTACTATGCCAACTAACATCCGACCTTTAAATAAAAGTTTTCGGCACGAAATATTAGTTATAGGGAGCATTTCTATATACTAAAATATATGGGAAATTTTTGATATACTACGACCCAACATTTTTAGGCCGGAGATCCGGAATTTGCTTGACCTCTATACTAACCGATTTCACTCGAGTAACCGATTTCAAAGTTACACGGGTGACCCGGTTGACGAATTTTCATCCGGTTCCAAACTCTAGTTCTGCAAAATATACAGAATATTCTGTTGACATTTCTGTATTCTTATGCTCAATTTTTTTGCCAGTTATTGTAACGAATGGTAATCATTCTGATGTGCCTGCCAATGTTTTAGTGTACTCGGCCTTTATTCTTGCTATTTTTATTTTTATTGTTTTGCTAATTAAAATTAAAAAATTAAACCCACAATCAGAAGATTTCAACAGACAATACATCACATATTTTATTTTATTTCAAATTCCATACTTTATTATGGATATTTATTTTATTTATCAGCTAACACAGAACAGACCTACATATTGGTATATTATTGTCATTTTATGGCCTGTATTTTATTTATCCTTTATTCCCTTAATTATTTTAAAAAAAGAAAAAGCAGTTAGATATTTATTTATCATTAATTTATTACTTGATGCAAGCACATTATGCTATATGGCTGTATTTTATGTCAAAAACGAGATTCATTTAGCGACCGGAATAGGTTTTGGAGGATATGTGCTTATACAGATACTTAGTTACTTTTCTCAAAGTCAAGATCCACTGGAGGAATCAAAAAACGTTTTGATGATGTAAATAAGCAAGTTGATACTATGAAGAGTGTTGATAACACTGAAGAAAATAATGAAATCAAAATAGAAGAACTTAGAGAAGATATTGATCAAGTTAACATAGAAATTGATCAAATCACTCTTTTACAAGTTCTACAAAAAATTCATCCACAAATTTTATCGCACGTTCAAGAAAAATTTATCAAGTTAATAATAGAATTAATAAGATTGAGAATAGAATTAAACAATTTAACCCCAAGTTTTATGGTATATTTGCCTTTTTTGTAAAAACCAGAATAATTAAAAACAACAAAGTACAGTCCAGTGTCTAAAATTCAACATCAAACTTGTGGGCTGCAGCGCACATAAATTTTTTTTAAATGCATGCAATAAAACAAATAGCATCAAATAAATATATAATATAATTAAATATGCTGCACGTCAAACCCTAAAACATATATGAATTTAAAATTTTTAATGCACATATTGTTAATTTTAAAGCAGGGTTGGCAAATGACTTTTAAATAACATAAATGACATTGTGACATTGTCATTTGTCACATTGTCATTTAGAAGGTAAAAGACAAATGACAAAAATAAGTTATATTTAAAAAATGCTAAGATCCTGAGATCATTAAGGTTTTGTGTCACTTCGGATATTTTAGGATTGGTTAAATCCTAAAACACCCGAAATCTTAATATATTATTTTTAAATGACAAAAATAACAAATGACCTATGTCATTTGTCACGAAAATTTTAAATGACATTGTCATTTGCCAACCCTGTTTTAAAGTGCTGAAAATTTTTTTAATGTGCGCTCCGCCCCTTCCGCACATTATAATAATCTTGCAGTCCAAGCTTTTTGACGAGTAAATTGATTTAAGATCCAAAGCTATACAGTACATAATATCCAATTTATCTTTCCATTCTAATTGTGATACTTGTATAAGATTTTGTCGTAACGAACCTTTTGGTGCAATGTGTAATGCAATAACATAGTCACCATAATCATTTTTTGACACTCCAAAACAGTTCAAGAACGAAGGATTCTCAAAACCAACTTCACAGTAATTCTTCAATTCTTGGATAAATTCTTGCCCATTTTTTGTTTGAATTATGAATTATTTTAAGTGCAACACCTCTCATTCGATCATTAATTCTGTCGATCCAATTTGCCCAATATACAGTTGCGAATCATCCCTTTCCTCATTCCTTGATAACTCTGAACTCGCTGTAATTAATCCAAGATAATTTAAACCTCTCATCGTCTAATTTTCTTTTAAGCTCAGAATTGATATGATCTGTTCTGAACCAATAATTTGCACTTCGAATATCTCTCTTTGTGCCGATACCGTTTCGATAAAATCGAGCAATATTACTCATTGCTGATGCACCACCCATATTAGCAAATTTTTTAAAGTATTCAAAGCTTTATTATAATCTTGATCAACTCCTTCTCCATTTTCATAACAATCACCAACATCATTAATCGCAATTGGATTTCCTAACTCAGCTGCTTTCATAAAATATTCAAAAGCCTTCTTGTAGTCTTGCTTAACACCAATATCGTGTTTAGAATCCATTTTTTTTTAAAGAGGAAAAAAAGTTATGTTCTAAATAAAATACAAACTTTAATTGTCCGGAGTGTATCGAAGGAATTTATTGTTTAGTCAAAGTGATACAAATGTTACATCAAAAGTTACGTTTTTGATTATTTCATTAAATGACTTATATTTTCTTTTAAATCGTAATATTGAAAAATTTCATGCCTGTCTGCATAAGTATTTGTATTTTAGTATAACAAACCCAAAATTTTACTGAAGGCGTAGCCCATTCGTTAAGTAAAAAACTATCCAGTAATTTGTTGTAGACTTGGTCGACTAGTATTGCTTAATACCGGTCTAGCTCCAGTGCATTCATTTGGAATTTTGGGAATTGCTTGTAAAAAACCTATATCATAGGCATTAAACTTACTAAAGTTTATTGATAAAGGCGGGATGTCACGAAAAATTACAATAATCCTGCCACAAGCAGTGAATAGTATGCAAAAGTGATACTGTTAATGAATTTCCAATGTACTGTATTTTATATACAGAAGGTTACTAAAAATCTAAATATTGATTTTAATGCTCAGAATTTTATTAAATAATATGTTCAGCATTGGTAGGTGGATACAGAATATCTGTATATTTAAATTGATTTCAGATTTTTAAAGAAAAACTTAGTGGTGACGGAATTTTCTGCAACCGAGTAATTAAAATATTTAAACCGATTGTATTTAATTAATAATTGTATTTTTCTACCAAAAAGGTCAACCGAAGAATATTCTTTCATGTCAAACCAAAATTTTTGACAATTTGGTTAATAAATATCTCGTAAGAAAATCTTTAAATAGGTATTGTAAGCATTTATTTCACAAGCTGATTATGACCTTATTATATGAACCCATAATACAAGCTTATGTGTAACCAGAGAATTTCATCATTTCAAATGACTTTTTTAAACATCATAATATTCATCCTCACAAACTTCTTTGGTAATTCCACTAAGACAAACTGGCTGAAGTGAGAAAATATCTAAAAAATAATTATTGCGTAAAAAATTATAGAATTCTTACTCGGAAGTTTGATGCCTCCTTACCAGCTAAAGTATTACATGACAAGATACTTGAGTGAAATCCAAATTCAAGGAAAGATAAATGCGATAAAAATAATATCGATTGATAGATGAATAAATGTCATAATTGGTTATGAGAAAGTAATACATGCATAGAAAAGATATTCACCTTTTAATTCTTTTGCTCCTTTATCAGTAACGCGTGTATATCCAACGTCAAAATATTTAAAACGTTTTTATTTACGTAATAATCTCAAGTAGAATACTCAATTAATTGGCTAATGATCGTAATGGTGCTCATCTGTTATGGAAGATCAATAGAACAAACGATAATGTAATTGACGTATTCTCACGTAACTTTCTCAATGTAATTAACTTACGTTCAAGCATTGCAATAATTGAAATACTGATCTCGATTGATGGTTGTGTAAATACTTTTATTATTACTATCTTATCATTACCATTAAAAAGTTATTTTTACAAAACTATAATAAAAAAAAAAAGAAGAAAAAAAGACGAGACTTCGCCAACTTTTGTATTTACTACAACAAAATTGGCTGACACAACTTTTCTGAATCCTTTACCAAATGTTGAATGAGCAAAATTTTAAATATTGATGTAATATTTTTAGTTTTTCATTTTTAGCTTTAGCTAACGTTGAGCCATTACATCTTGTGAAGGAAGAATGAATGGAGTTCAGTAGTGTATCTAGTGTCATATAAATAAAGGCCATTCGTGAAATTTCAGCTTTTTGCCTTTTTTATTCGTAGCGAAGGTTTTTTAGCATAAGCGCTGGTTACGATTTTGAAGATCCATAATGGTAAAAGGGTAAAGTGTTTGAAAGGTTATTTTTTATAATCCATCTATTAAAGATTTTAACCAATCAGCGCAACTCTGTGAAAAAAGGATGGTTGACCTCCTTTTCTTGTCAATTGAATGTTAAGTATTTTTGATCGGCTAAACGGTCTTCCGCGCGAAAACTACTCGTCCCAAATCCCAATTTTATTATATTTTGGATTTGGAATTTGGGACAATTTTACTATGTTTGGGATTTGGAGGGATTTGCGTTCGAAAAGTTGTGGTTTTGTAAGATTTTGATAGAGATACTACTTGCGGAACTACCACCATATGCTTTATGACTTATGCAGTTTCAAATTTCATGATCTTAATTGCTAATAATGTTTTTCACGAGCTTCACACTCAAAAGCTTTGATCTTTTAATTTCCTCAGCAATTTTGCGGCTTTTGCTTTTGACTTTGTATACATGAAAATAAATTGAAAAGTAACGAACGAAATACTTGTTACAATCAATAAAATGGAGTCCTTGCCTTGAAAATCACGTTATGGGACATAGTAAATCATATGTCTCATAACGTGACTTTCATGGCAAAGACTCCAAATGCTTGTTTAATATCTGAGCGAAATGAAAATAAATAAATAAATATGTTAAGCTGCAAAAGAAAGTATAATTGTTGGGCGAAACTATTTATATAAAGGACGAAAGACGAAACACAAGCTCAAAACTAAAAAGGATGAAAACCACGAAATGGCGAAGCGACGAAACACTGGCGAAACTGCGAAACAGTAAAATCCTTAATATGCCCCAAATCAGTCATGTATCTGACAGCCATAGTTAGTCTTAATATTATGTTTATTTTTTAATTTAAGGTTTTTCGATCATCACATACCCGAGATTTTTGTGAAGGACTGGATATTCGAATAATTTCGTGTGATCATAAGAGGGTTATAAAAAAAAAATATACTTCACCGCCAGCAAGAAAATAGTCGAATTTTTGATAATCCACATCTCTTTTATCATTTCCAACCTTATTTTTTTAATCGATTACTTTTTTAATCGCGTTTTTTTTATCAAAACTACGGAACCTAATCATGTAAACAAATATCATCGCCTAATTTGTTATCTCGAGTCTTTAACCTCTATAAAGAATAAAAATCTTAGAACACCCAGTTTGGCATAGAATTTTGATAGTAAACAATATTCTCATTTTATTTAATTTCGGTGTCCTTTGTAAGTTTTATGCCTCTCGCCTTCATTCATTTTTTATCACCTTTTATCAGTTTCACTAGTCTCGCAATTCGTCTTTTCAATTTTTTTGGCAAAAAAAGTTTCGACTTTGCCAACGCAAAATCTCTAGGCTTCGCCAAGTAACTATAGAAGGATGTACTTTACCGTTCTTGAAATACTTGGGTATTTTAGGATTGGTCTAACTGTTAAGGGTGCTAATTTTCAAAAAAAAATGGCCGTTTTAACGTACTTTTGGTCTATTATTAAATACATAGATGTCATAGCTTTCCAATATTTAATTTAGATACAAAGTTAAAACGGTACTCTTATGAAGCTTTGCTTTGTTAAGTTTAGCTTATTGGCACACCTCATTCATTTTTAGATTCAAATTTTATTTTTTTATAAATTAAATGCAAGTAAAAGATTCAAAGAAACGTTAGAGACAGAAATTCACAACAAAAGATGAAATTGATTTTAAAGATTTCTTACTCCCAAATGAATCTTCAAGTGAGAAGAAAGATATTGAAAAAATCTTTGATAACTGAGAAAACCGCACCTTGTTACATATAAACACGTATTTAATTTTGAGAATTTGCCCTGGATTACTATAGTACTAATCTTTACTGATATATTCTGAAAACTTTT